ATCTCAAACAACTTACATCGATAAACAAACACTCGCATAAAATTGCTAGTTTACTAGATATATATCGATTCCTTCCAACAAATCTCATTTATTTTTCCATTATAAAATCAATAGCCAAGGTTTTCAGTCTTGCCAGTTGCCTCAAAGCTGCATATTAGTAACTTCAAAAACTCGTTCTCTTGGTTGCAATCGCTTCGCATTGCGCGTCTTCATACAAGAATTCGTACATTGTGTTATTCATAATTTTCCAAAAAATAAGAAGAAAAAGAAAGAACAACTCAAGAAGAAATTATAAAGTAAGAGGCCCTGTGATGAATGATTTGAATGAAGTGTTGATGTAGTAGCACTTGTATATTTATAAGAGAATTCTTTAGCTTTAAGTTGATAAGGATCAAAAGTAAAAGTGGAAGGTACAAAGTGTCAAAAAACATAAGAATACAAAGAACTAATTAGTGCTCATGAGTCCCTACTTTCACATTATTAAAACAATTTTTTGGAACTTTGTGGAGAGTGCATGGAAACTAGACCAACTAGATGCAATGTTTTTGTTGCTTTATGTGTATATATATATATATAAATATATAAATAGCTATATGTTTATGTATGTACACTCACTTCATAGTGTAATAAATTAATCAAACAAAATGATAATGAAATATTTGGCTAACTAATCCCTTCAATTAATGCAGGGTTTACCGAGGCTATGTGTTAATTTCTTTGGTTTCGTAATCATATGTCTTGAATTCTGCTGTTTCGTAATTTTATATGTTAGTTTTATACACTTACATATATATAATGTTTATAATGTTAATGGGGCCATACACTTAAATAATTTTAATTATATATATAATTAAAATCAAAATTGAATAATGTTTATAATGTTAGTCTTACTAATTAAAATATATAGCATAATCACATCAAATATAATTATTGAACCATTATAAATATCGGGTGTGGCTGAACTACCTTCCCATAACCCAGAGCCATTTTCCTTAAACTAAAGCAAACCGAAGCTTCTGGCATAATCTCATCAAATAAAATTATCAAAATATATGATCACATCAAATAAATTTTAATTATATATAACTAAAATCGGAATTGAAGGAGTTGGGATCGCCGGGTCTCACGCGGGATGTGCGCTGTCCGCGTGCGGGTCGCGCTCGCGCGCTGGCGTGCGTGCTCGCACAGTCGGGCCCTGGCGCGTGTTGGCGTGCGTGCTGGCGTGTGAACACAGGTTAATTGTTTAAAGTATTGTACGTGACATTCTTTCACCCACTAACAGCCAGCAAACCCACAAAATGGGATCTAACTGTATAAAGAGCATCATTTTGAAAAGTGAAATATATATTGTTTGTGGGTCATAAAGTGCGCAAATACTTAGGTGTGTCCTGGCACACTTAGCTAGGTGTGCCGAACAATAATAAAATGAACATGTTATATATTAAAATGAACATGTTCATTTTTATTATGTAACATGTAATGATAAAATGAACATGTTATATAATAAAATGAACATGTTCATTTTATTATATAACATGTTCATTTTATTATTGTCCTTGCACACCTAGCTAGGTGTGGCAGGACACACGGTAATAGCACTGCATAAAGTGATGGGATAATGAAAAAAGTAAAGAGAGGATTGAAATGACATTTTATCTGTTAACCAACAAAATTATTGGAGGAGATCTATGAGTATATAAGTCTATTAATTTCATGCCATGCCCAATAAGACCTATTAATTTTTTTAGTTGAAATGAAATGTGGAGCAACAATCATTCTAGAAGTACTCTTTATTCACACACTTCACTTGGTGTGAGTCATGTGGTTAATGATCATGGTTTGATTTATGATTAAATGACCACTGATTTTGGTATATGACTATCTCCATAAAATAAGAAGAAAATGAACATATGGGCTGGGGTTTTAAGGTAGAAAGGTTCAAAGACCAAGCTAGCTAGGACCATGACTTAAGTTTTAGGCCCATTTTACATGTTTTGACTAAACTTTTTTTTTTTTTTTTT